CACATCCACTAAGTCAAATCATAATTCTGCAATTTCACAAAAATATACATTGCCAAGGAACATGACAAAAACTCTAAGGTAAAATGCACTTGATTCGGTAACAGTTTCCAGAACAGGCTGGTTAGAACTTTAAGAGGACAGAATGGATACAGGAACAAAGGAATCTGGCAATTGTCATAGCCCAGATCAGGGAACTAACTCCAACACGCAGCAGCAGGTAGGGCTCTCCCTGGCAATGGGACGGAGGTAGAAAATTAAGACCTAAACAATATCCTGCCAGGCCCTGGAGAAATCAGCCAGTGGAACCAGAATGGAGGAAGTTCTTTTGGTATCACTGGCTTTTTATTCTGGATCTTGTCGGCCTGTATGTCTGGGATAATTGATCTCTTTCAGTCAGTGTGCTTTTCAGGTGTCTTAACCACAGCTTTCTGCACAATTGATCTGAACCAACACCCCAGCCAGTGCAGCCTCTCATTCAAATTAGTTGAAAACAATGAGTTAGACTCTGTCTTCTACAAGTGCCTTAGCAGATGAGAACTGTGGGTAGATTTTTGGTTCCTTAGCAGCAGATTCCTTGAAATGAATGTGTTCTGAGACAGGATGGGGTGGGGGCAGATGTGCAAGTCTGAGCTCAGGAGCAGGGCAGAAAAGAAACACAAAGACGGTGAGCAGCATGACCCCAGATGACTGTCAATGAACCCAGTTAGCTATATGTTAAGGGAGTGTGTGTTTGGAGTTTGAACCATTTTGGCGTTCTCAAGGTGAGCAGGTCTCGCATGCAATGTATCCACATACATTCAAGAACAATAAGGAAGGCTCTGCAGTGTTGCTTTGTTCCATCTGAGTAACCATCAACTTTTTGTTCAATCACTTTCTTATTGATGTTGTCTTCTTTCTACCTTCCTGGGGTTCTGCCCCTAACCCACCCTTATAATGTTCCTGCAATTCCCCAGCTTTCCCAAGGTGCACTTCTTTTAAACTCAGAGAAAAAGGGAAACATGAGAAAGGTAAAGCAATCAGCCCAAGGGAAGATCACTTCTCCTTTTCTTCCCAACTTCTGGTTTTGGAGTTAAAAATCAAGCCTAGTTGGCTTAGATCAATTCATAATGGGGAGCCCACAGCTCCCCATTATGTTTGAGAGGATTTGACTGCTTGTCTCCTGGCACTTAGAAACATTTCTTTACTCACTCAACTCTGGAGTGGTCCTATTGCAGTGGTGTTGGCCTGGGAGGGAAGCAGGGCTTTCCTGGTTCGTAATTAACTTCTAGAAGGAGAAAGGGCAAGGCAGTGTTTTCCCTGGCCTATGCTAGAAATAAGAAAGTTGGCGGAGAGATGGGCTCTGCAGATGAGTTGCCTCCTAATACCATCCCCCTTCTCCTGATGATGTCTACTCAGACTCTGCTTCTCTGAGCATCTCCTGATGATGTCTACTCAGGCTCTGCTTCTCTGAGCATCCTCCCTTACCCATCATCTTCCCTGCCCACCTTCCTTCATACTTTCAGTCCCATACAGGCACCTCTGACTTCGCCAACTGTGTCTACAGCATCTTAATAGCTTCCTGACCCATCTGTTAATTAGCCATTTAAAAAAGAAGCCACACAGTTCCTCCTTAGAGTGATTCTCATCTCCGAGAGTGACGTTAATGAATCAACTCATGGTGAGGAGGAGGAACAGGTTTGGATGTGAGACAGCTAAGGGCAGAATAGAATGTCAAGATGTGCCAGCCTCCTAGGCTGGATGCTGGGCAGAGCCCATACTCCTGGAAGACATGGGCCTCTATTCTCTGGGCAAACAGCCTCAGGTAAGGACTACAGAGACACTCCAGAAACATGACAATCAGTGGATGCCTGCAGTTCCAACTCTTAACCCGAGAAGTTCTAAAAGCAAGGGCAAGAGGAGAATGTAACTTCTAATAGAAATGGGGTTCCAGCCAGGAAAAGTGGCACACCCCTACTCAGAGCCAGCATTGCTTTCTCCTCCCCAGAGCCCAACTTGCTAAGCATGACCATGTTTGCATCATTTCCACTGCCTTGTCTCTTAGAATCACCGGAGAGCTGGCTGTTTCCCCTTACTTCTCACTCAGAATCCTGCTAGCCAGGGCTAATCACTTCTACAAAAAGCAAAATCTGTTCTTCCCTGCAAGGGAAGCAGAGATGCAAGAAAGTCCAGCCATAAGGGATATGCATGTGTACAGCAGACAGAGGGCTGCCTAGCCTGAGAACACCAAAGCAGAGCAGATGGCCAATCCCTTCTTCCATCTCTCCTCAAACTCCCACAGTATCCCTTGGCAATGAGGCTTTTCTCCCTGAAATTGCCTCAGACTCAGAAACGCTTGCCCCAGGGAAGGAAGGGACTCAGGTCTGCCTGCCTTCAGGGATGCTCACACACTGCAACAGCTCTGTTCTCCCTTCAGTACAGACACATTCTGGCTGCACTATTTCCAAAAGCACAGAACTGAAGAACATCCACTCTCCCGACTTGACCTCTGACTGGGAGCATTCTTGTTTCTCCCCACTTTCCCTAGGAAATATCATCACTGTGTGAACACATATCTCCTCCATCACTGCCCCCTTTCCCTCCTACCTTGGCATTCTAACAACACAGACTACACAAACGCCCCACCCAGGTGTGGCAAGCAGTGACTTCTGAGGTATAGGCAGAGAAAGAGGAACTCCTTCCCATATCCACCCAGAGGTCCATGTGAGAGTGATGTGGGCATGTCCATTGACACACTTGGAAGGAAGAGGTCCAGGTGATATGCTATCTTGCCAGTTACCAAGAGCTGAAAAAGACTTTCCCTGACCTGCTCAAGGTTACTCTTGAGTGTTCTTAAGTGTCGCCCATCGCTGTGTCACTCATCTCCGATCTCCAGCCCATCCTCCACATCCCCTACACATACACTGATAGGCATTGTCCCCTACCCACCCAGCACCAGTGTGATGGTTTCCAAAGCACTGATCAGGAGAGCGAGGCTGCAGCTGCTAGAGAGGTGCTGTGAACTGAATGAAATCAGGAGGTGAATTTTCGGGGGAGACATCACATATTTACATAATGGTCTGGGGCCTGAAATTCAGCTCTTTCCCACTCTTCACTCTCTCCTTCTCCCACTCCAGAAAGAGCCCCAAGAGTGCCGCCGTGGTCACCCCAATGTGGGACAGAGGGAGTCTGTGGAGAAGAAGAGATTATTATCAAGAACAGTGGCTTCCCTGGAGCAACATGACAATGTCGATTTTCGCGGGTGCTCAGTCGCAGACTCTGGGGTCACAACCTTATCAAAACCAGGTGATGTTGAACGAACTGCACAAGGCACGGGGGGGGGGGCGGACAGGGAGACACCCCAAGAAAGGTTTGTGAGAATCAACTAGAAAGAGGTAAGAGCCACGGTGGGTTTGATGAGATAGGAGGAGGCAAGAGGAAATGAGCCCCTGAGTCCTGGGTCAGAGGGGACAGATGATGAACAACAGCCCATCTGATTCAAAAAAGGCTCCTGCCCCTGAGCAATTCCTTCTTTGAGTTCCAAGCTGAGCCAAGAGAGAATTCACTGTCAGACCAAATGAACCCCTTGGAAGTGGTAGTGTCTTGTTCTTATTTTGTTCACAGTGACCACTGTCTGCATACTGAAGCATGGAGACCACAGGCCATTCATTGCTCACATTGCTAGTTCAAGTCCAATGGGATGCTGAGAGCAGCTAGAGGAAGAGTAGCCAGCTCGGGAAATGAGGGGTTAAAAGTGGGTGCTCCCTCTACAGTCAACCCATGTCTAGTAGTTGAGTGTGAAATGTCTGTATTTAGTGGATTTGAGTCAATAAAACCTGACAGGGAATATCATCTTCTCACACCCACATCATTGAGGGGGAGGGCAGAATGAGATCCTTCACCATGCCTAGAAATTTCTACCTGCCTTCCTCTTTTCAGCAAGGTCGGGGTGATTAATGTTCAGAGCAGTGAAAGGAGGAGATTCTCAAGTCTTGAGGATAATAAGCAAAGTGTATGTGCCAGGCAGGGCTCGGTGGGGTCAACACACACGCAGTGGACTGGGGGCTGGGCCTGGGAACTAGGCCAGTGCCCACTCTGTGTGCCAGAAATGGAAGTGTTTCCTGGGGCAGGGTTTTCATTGAAGCCACATCCAACCATTCATCTTCATGGGGACACTGGATGCATAGCTGACTTTGCATCCTCTGCCTGCACAATCCCTAAAGGAGAGACTGGGTTCCTGCTGTGGCTTTGACTTTCCAGTGATCTCCCCGGGAACCAGAGACAGGGGTGGGAAGCAATCCGAGTGGAGCTGTGGAGTGTGGTGTTTTGAACTGTTATAGATTTCTAAAGCGGACAGTCCCCACTGTCTTTATCATGCGTACAGTAAAAGATGCCCAACGGGGCTGAACACCATCCAAAGTGTTAACTCAGAGAGGCCTGCCTTGGAGGACCAAGTCCTCCAGCCTCAGCAGGAAACATAAGCACACCACTGGAAGACATACATACCGCCTGCCCTTGATCAACACGACATGGGGATGGATCCTTCTTCCCAGGAGAGGCAGCTACTCTTTCCATATCATCCCGCTCTTAACCCATGGGAACACCCAGGCTTAAGCTAGCACACTTGCTCTTCCTTTCAGTGACGTGCTCACACTGCTCAGTTCTTTATATTAAGGTGGCACTCGAGCTCAAACAAACAAACACCTAAGCGTGGTGCAACCCATACTAAAGTGGCCACACACCACGAAAAGGAGAGCCTGGGGAGTGGAAAATTGGTCAAATTCTACATTGAACATCACGAACTCCATTGATTCGTACTTTGTGTTGCAAATCCCTCTCACATTCGCCTATATGCTTCCTACGGAATGCAGGAGAGCCACAAGATGTATTGCTCTTATAAGAAGCGACTGTGGAAGTGACTTAAAAGGATAGAAGAGGTGTGCATGAAAAGGACTGGGGGGGGCGGTATGTGAAGAGGGGCAAGGACCGGGGACCCAAGGCAGGCACCAAGCAGCGCCTCTCACCTGTGGATGTTCATCTCTCGCGGCGGGCGGTGGGCCTTGTCATAGGAGACCTTGGCGAAGACGCCCGCTACGATGACGAAGGCGATCACCCCGCAGGTGATGTAGACGGTGAAGTTGGTCTTATCCTTCTCCGGGTCGTACTTGTTCTCGGGTCCCGGCGACACCACCTTGGTGCTGGGCGTCTGCACCCATACTGGGCTTTGGTAGTTGGTACACTGGCGCTGGTCCAGCTTCTCGTGGCGCTTCTTGCAGCAGAAGCGATAGTAGCAGGTGCCGCAGCAGTACAGGTAGCCGCTCTCGCTGTTGTTACATTCGAATTCCTTGTCGTACTGGCCGCTCACGTCGTAGTAGCCCCAGCACGTCTCGTAAGTGACGGTCGCGCTGGCCGATGCTGCTGCCGCCGCCGCCGCGGACTGTCCCCGCCGGCTGCCCGCCTCCGGGACGCCTGACGCCCGGGCGGTGCTGTTCAGCTCGCGGCCGCCGCGGGCTAGGGCGCCTCCGGAACGTCGACCCCCGACGGCTCCGGCTCCTAGGGTCCGGTTAGCCGCGCGGCCGCGGGCGGCGTCAGCGCCAGGCGGCAGGTGCAGGGACGAGAGCGACAGCAGCAGCGACAGCAGCAGAGGCGGTAGTAGGAGGCGGCGCAGCGCCATGGCGAGGCCGGGTGGGAGGGCGCGGGCAGACGCGGGCTGCAGGCCGCTGCCCCAGCGGCTGGCGGGACTCCGAGGGCGACAGCGCGGGCTGGCTGAGCGAGCGACACGGGCCGGTCAGCGGCGGGGCGATGGCGCCATCGAGGCGCGGGTGGCGGCGGGAGCGCACGGAGCAGCGGGGCGCAGGCTGCGCGGGGCTCTCAGGCTGCGCGCCGGCTCCGCGCTCCCCCTGCGGGTTCCGCGCGCCTGGCGGACATCCCCATCCCCCGCCCGCGGCAGCGGCGGCCCCGCGCGGCTCGGTTCAGGCCGGCCCCGAAGCGCTGTTCCCGGTGGCGGCGGCGGCGGCGTGGTCCCGTCCGGGCAGGTCCTGCGGGACAAGACGGGGCAGCGGTCACGGGGTGCGGAGAGCAGCGGACGGCCGGGAGGGGAAGGAGTGCGCAGCCCTCGAGGAGTGCGTCCTGGCTGGGACGGTGGCCCGAGGGTGCACGCAGAGCCCCTGCGGGAGGCACCCGGACGAACGGCCCGGTGCGGTGTAGTCTGCTGAGGCTGGGGTCTGGCGGGCAGTCGGGGAGCGCGGTGGCTGCACCTCAGTCACTCACCGTACCCGGCTGCGACTGCAGCGGCGGCGGCTAAGCGGGAGCGAAGCGGCCGGAGCAAGCGAGCGAACAAGCGGAGCCGGGAGCCGCCTGCACTAGTGCCGGAGCGTGTGCGATAGGCGAGAGGGAGACACAAGCACTCACACAGCAGCACACGCGGGAGCGCCGCGCGGGGAGGGAGGGGAGGGAGGCCAGCCGCTCGCCGCCGCCCACGTTTCCACGCCTGGGCGCCCGGGTGGGGGACGGCAGGACTCCTCTTTGCCTCTTCCCCCTCTCTCGAAGCTCCGCATCACCAAAGCCCGAACCAACACCGCAAAGAGGGAGATTCCCTTACTCCGTACTTCTAATACCCCGAAGCAAGACCAGAGTGAGCTCTCTGGAGCTGGCGGCCAGCAGGGTCAGATGTCCTCTGACATTGCCCTTCCAGCCCTCCTAGTCGAGTACCACCCACCCCTCCTCTTACCTTAGTCTGGTCTTTGCGCGCTCCCAGACAGCGAGTTGGGGTTTCTTCAAGCCTCTGCCTCTCCCTAGTGGCGATGCTAGCAGCCAAGATAAGAGGTCAAACCCATTGCTACAGGTTCCTACACTGAGGCCAGGAGTCAAGTGGCTCTTGGGCCACCAAGTGCCCTGAACCTAGGTTCTTTTCTCCATCTCTCATGTAGGTATGTGGTAACTACAGCTCTGGGTGACACCTAGAAGTCCCTCTTTCTCAACTTTTTTTTTTCCAGCATCGAGATTGAGTTTAAAAGTAAACAAATAAAAATAAAACCACCTGGGTTTTAAAGATGCGTTTTGGAAACTCCTGTGTCCCTATGCTGAAATTCTTATTGTTGCTGCTAGGGGAGATGATGAAAATCACAGCATCCCCTCATGATCAGGTTGACTGAAAGAAAGCAGCAGTGCGGCCACCCCAAGAGGGAGGCAGAGTCTTAGTTTGGTATGTGTCCTTGTTGGGGGGGGGGGACTGAGAAGATGAGCAACAGCCGGCCAAGCTTCTGCCCGTGCTTCCTGAGTACTCTGAGGGAAGGCAGGGACAGTCGGTCAGAACGATGGCAACAGAGATTTCCCTGAATTAGACTACTCGGTCCTACTCAGGGGGTGATTCAAACAAAAGGTCAGCCTTCGGGAAGAGCTGGCAGTAAATGGATGGCTTGCATTGGAGCTGAAACCCAGATTCCAAGACACAGAGGGACATTTTGACCATGGGATGGGTAGAGAGAGAAAGTCACTCACTCTGGCCGACTCTTCAAGAAATTCCCCATGTGCTACTCTTTCTCAGTCCCTTCTTCTTCTTCTTCTTCTTCTTCTTCTTCTTCTTCTTCTTCTTCTTCTTCTTCTTCTTCTTCTTCTTCTTCTTCTTCTTCTTCTTCTTCTTCCTTGGCACTCCCTGTTTCCTCAGCTCCATCTCTTGGTTCTGCTAACAATCACTGTTAGTGCCAATCTTGCTGTGCCCACTGGTAAGTGCTAAGATAAGGAACAAATAACATCGCCCCTTCTTTAAGAGGTTTACAGAGGAGACAGCCAAATGATTTCTGCAAGGCATGCTTGTGTCCACAACAGAGATGAGCACAGCCTATTCCAAGAGGAGGGTACAGGCTCCTAGCATAGCCCAGGAGAGCAGCAGTGAGGGTCAAATTCAGTTTTCAAGGTAGTCTTGAAAAGCATGGTAAAGAATGATTAAGAGTAAGAAAAATAAACAAGAGGGCAAGGATGCTTTCAGCAGAGGAAACAGGGAACCTGGAAGAAATGAATTAGTGTGGGTGGGTGACCTAGGCATAGAGAGTTGCCAAACCCTTAGTGGAGCTTTTAAATAAGGACAGCTTGGGGGGGGGAGTTAATAGGGGAAGATGCCATCAAATTTATAGCTTTTTTTTTATATCTTCAAGTCTACTGGAAGAGGGAACACTGACTGAACCAAACACAGGAAAGCAATTTAGAAGCTGTGCTCCTAATCTAGGTGCAAAATGATGGAGCTGTGAAGCAGACATAAGGGAGGAGATGCCTACAATGGAGGTGATATTCTTATTCAGAAGAGCAAGCTCAAGATAGCAGTGGTCGTGTTGAAGTGTCTCTGAGAGGTCCACCTGTGGCTGCCCCCACCCCACCAGGGCAAGAACAGAAAGCTCAGGAGAAGAAAATAGGCACACATAGTTGGTAGTCAGGAAAACGTTTGAAGAAAACAACCCTGCGCTGAGTACTATGTGTGATTTCTAAGCCAATCTTGCCAATCTCTTCTTGTCTTTTAGTTCTCCCATCTCCTTCATTTGTCTAGAATTTCCATCTGTATATCCGGCCCCTCCCTCAGAAATAGGCAGAAGATTAAGATGTTCCCATGAGAGACTCAAACAGGATAATGGTTCGTTGACTAAGTTTCTCAAGTCAACCTTCCCCTCATAGGGGCAGATGTGTTGTCATTTCCTGTGCTGCCAAATCGTGACATCAACAGACTCATAGAAATCGTATTTAGGTAGGCTAGAACATGCAAAGTTATTTATTTCGACCTTTGATTTGATACACTCTATTGTTACTGATTCCTCTCCTGCCCATTCTTAGGGTTGACCAGGTGACTTACACTCCATCATGCTTCCCCCTGACCCTACCCCATTTTTATTTTTTGTTTCAACATTAGATCCTTGGCAGTATTGAAACATCCTTTATTTGTGTATTTAACCCTTTTAAAAGTTCCAGAGAAGAATAGTATTTCTCCAAACCTACACCGACTTTCCAAAGACCTAAGGCTTTGGGGAAAGTGCACCAACCCTTATTTCTAAAAGGTGTGTTCCAATTGGTCTGAGACACCTGTCAGGAATTGTGTTGCATTGGGGGAGAGGTTCTGCCTTTGTTTCCACAGGAAACAGCGGGTTATGGTTCTCTTCAAAATTAATAGAGATTAGATTTGATCATGGGAGACCTGAAAATCTTGGCTACAAACATGAAAAAAGAAACCAAAAAAGATTACAGGAAAGATGACAATATGCTGCTCACTTTACTATAGGAACACAACTGCTCTGGGGCTAAGAGAGACATGATAAATCTTATTGGCTACAGAGTCCTTATTATTACATGTCATCCTTTTATATGGCATGGATAGAAGTCTGGTTGGTACAAACACTTATGAAGCTCACAGATGCCTTTTACCTGTTCCAATATAAAACAAAAAAATCATCCTTAATTGACTTGTGCACGCTGCACATTCCATACTTGTGTTAATGTGACCATAATATGCTACCTTTAGAAGTGTATGTGTTTTCAGAAAAAAAAAGGACCAGACACCAATGAAGTCAAATAGCCCAGGTGGTCCAGCCTCTCAGAATGCCTCTGTTACAGTTTCCTCAAAATTCTGCATCCAGGACAGCTTCAAAGATACTAGTTGAAATGGTCCAGTCTCACAGTCAAGATTCCAGATAAGCTCTATATTTTCCATTCACACAGAGACTAAACAAAAAAAAAATACAGGTAGCTCTCCCAGGACTTGACCATTATCCCAATTTTTAGGGTGCCCTAAAGATGCTATCACCCCTAGACAACAGGATGCAGTCTAGAGAACAGGACACTCACATTCCCAAGAGATGGGGTAGGTGGTTTTTGGTCATTTGGTGGGTTGTGGATGTTTGTCAGCATTTAACGGGGTTGGTCACAAGTTGTTGTTGGTCACAGTCAGAGAAAACACTGAGCAAAGGAGATTAGATTCAGGAATCTCTTTCTGAAGGGAAAAGGGAGGTATATAGTATAGAAATAATAGGATAAAATGGTAGATTATTGAATCTACTTTTAAACTAAAAAACAACTATTAGTCTTAAATATTTTACATTGGTATAGATTTGTATATATTGACACAAATTTAAGGTTATTTTGTTATACTGTATATATGTTTCTACTCTTGTTTAAGGTATTCTACCTATGCAGCTCATTTAAAAATGTAATATAAAATTCTAGTCCTTGAAAACTATTTAGGATAATAAATAAATAAAGGTTAGTAGTTAGTCATCTATAACAAAACATATAGCCATGGTAGGTATGTTTCCAAGGTCAAACAGAGATATATTCTAAATAGATAAATGATCTTCAAATACTTAAAAGGCCTAAATAATGTGGCATTTAAAATGTTTTATTAACATAAGGCTTTTCATGACAGTGATTATTTATCAAACATGGAGAAATGTGGAATATTTGTACACTGTGTGAAATCTGTTGCTGTGACTGGTGTAATTAAAGTTTAATGGCCAATAAGTAGGCAGGAGGTATAGGTGGGATTTCCAGGGAGAGAAGGAATCTAGGCATGCAGGAGAAGCCAGGAGACATGGAGGGAAAGCAGGAGGTACAAGATGGAAGAGAAGCAACACCACGTGATAGAACATAGATTAATAGAAATGGGTTAATCAAGTTGTAAGAGCTAAGCCTTATAAGCCTTAGGTTTAGACAAGCCTAAGCTAAAGGCCAAGCTTCGATAATTGATAAGAAGTATCCATGTTATTATTTGGGGCTGGCACCAGAAAAGAAAGTCATCTACACAGGGTCCTTAATTGATCTCAGCAGAGAAAGCATGAATAATAAAATACATCCTTTTGCTTTTTGAAAGCCTCTAGAATTGAAGTCTGTTGACTTAGTATATCCTAGTTCACCCTGGCTGATGCTGTAAAAGTGATGGGTGAAAGGATGGAGCTGCCCACAGACTTATGCCCAGAGCCCTTTCTGGTCTCCTAGTAATGTGAGGTAAATTCTTTTTTTTTTCCAAAGCCTATTTGAGTGTGGACTTCCTTTTAAATGTAGCCAATAACATTCCTAATATATGAATTGCATTTTGCCATTATTTTTTGTTTTCTTTTTTAATATATATTTAAATTAGAAACAAGCTTGCTTCACATTTCAGTCCCAGGTCCCTCTCCCTCCCCTCCATGCCCACTTGCCCCCAGCTCCCCCAGCCCCCTCACAGCCCCCCACCAAATCCCCACTCTGTTTCCCAGGGATGGTAAGGCCCTCCATGGGGGATCTCTAGGGTCTGTCATTTCATTCCTGGGAGGGCTTAAGCCCTCCCCCCAAGTGTCCAGATTGAGAGAGCATCCCTCATTGTGGGATGGGCACCCAAAGTCCATTTGTATGCCAGGGATATATACTGATCTACTACCCAAAGCCCCATAGATTGCCTTGGCCTCCTC